AGGACTCCCTCCTCTTCCTCCTCTGCAGCCATGACATTGGAGTTGCCCCAATGTTCTTACTGGTTCTCAAGGTTCTTGTTCTCTGCTTTCACATCATTAATTTTATTACAACTCTTCCTCCTGTTAGAAAATGTCCTTGTCCCCAGTCACTTTATTTGTCTTTTTGAGACAGGGTCTCCCTGTAGCCCCAGCTGACCAGGAACTCACTATGTAGACCAGGCTGGCCTCCATCTCACAGAGATCCACCTGATTTTGCATCCCAAGCGTGGGGATTAAAGATGTGCACCACCATGCACTTGAACACGAGTTCTCCATTTCACATAATCAAAGGTACTCATATTTCTGAAAGTTTGAAGTTTGGTGTAAAAAGTCCCGTGTTGTCTGCCATCTGTAAGGTATTCTCTCAGATCGCCCGTTAATGCCTCTGTTTTTACCCTTTTCAAGTAGGAATTGCATTTAAACTAGGGCATAACATTACTTCTATGTTAGGCAGAGATTCAATTACATTTTTCTCTCTAGCGTTTCCCCAACACCTCTACTAACCAATGTGCTGGTTCCTAGTGGGTCTTGGCAGCACTTTTACCTTGTGTTAAATGTCCTGCATTTTGTCTTCTGTTTCCTTGAAATGTTCTCTTCCTTGTGCCTATAGAACGCTGTCCTTCCTTCCCTCCCTCCCTCCCTTCCTCCCTCTTTCCCTTCTCTCTCTCCCTCTCTCCCTCCCTCTTCCTTTCAAGATAGGGTCTGACTGTTGTTGACTGTCCTTTGATTCCCACAGCTTTCAAGTGTGTCTTAAGGTCTACTGGGACAAGTGCCTATTTTCCGTGAATTTTAAGAAGTTGACTTAGCTTTTCATAGGCCTTTCTTTCTCCATTTGAAACCTATAGCTTTATAGAGTTCCTCAAAACACCTGCTCCAAGAAATTTTTTGCCTTTGGACTGCTCTTGTGGGTGGACATGGAGGAATCGTAGCTTCCTTCTTCAGCCTCCCACTGAAGACTTCACGAACTTTTGACTTCCTCACACTCACTAACACAGGTCAAGGGCGAACCCCGCAGGCCTCAAGGGTGCTCACCTCCAAGACTCCTTTGCTTTATGATGAAGGTTTCAACAGGGCTGGGGTGGGGCTGCCCTTCCCTCTTCCTATTGCACTTACAGAGTCCACATCACCTACGGATCCCAATACACAGTCTCCATACGGTGCTGGCCAGTGCCACACTGACTCGTGCCTTTATCGAATTTGAAATCCCAAGATGCCCTGGGATTCTAGCTGAGCCCTCATCTCTCTGGACAGGTCCCACAGGTGTTTGAACATTCCCTGGATGTTGCTTTGTGTTCCGTCCCCACCCAGATCCTTGAACAAGTCCACCATCTCCGTGTAAACTCTGGAGCGCTCACTGTCGGATCTCGAGGTGGGGTAGGTGTCCTTCCTGCTCCAGCCCATCCCTTCCAGACACTGCTCAGCTCCTTGGGGCTGGAGCTCATGGCATCAGATTTTGTTCCTGCTTGTTCTTGCTGCTGTCATGTGCTGGCCACTCATTTGCAATGATTTGGCCATTTGTTCATTGAAACTCTCTCCACTGTCATTTCAGTCTTAGTAACTGCTCCTCCTCCTTCTGTTCCTCCTGCTCCCCGTCCTGTTCTCTGGCTCCTCCTGCTCCTCCTCCTGCTCCCCCTCCTCCGGCTCCTCCTGCTCCTCCTCCTCCTCTTCTTTTTTGGGATAGGGAGGGTACTGGGGATTGAACTCAGGACCATGTCAAATAATTAGTTTCAACTCTTTATGATTTTAATACATGTGGTTGACTTTTCCAGCAAAGAACTATTTCCCGAAGTTCCCCTCCTGCATCGAGCATGTTCCACACCATCCCCATTTCACCCATACATACATTCAACGACAATACCCTGGACCTGCATTGTCCAGCATGGTAACCAATGGCCACCCATGGCTATTTAAGTTTATATAAATTGCAATGAAAAAAAATCAAGTAAGATTTTGGCTTCTCGGTTTCACAGCCGCATTTCAAGCACCCATGGTGAATGGCTGCTGTTTTGGCCATTGCAGATATAACATGTCTATCACCACAGGTGATTCTATCAAAACTTTCTAGAGCTTCCCGTGCTTTACCTTTACTAGTAAGTGTAATTCCTTTAGTCACTTCTGAGCCCCTCTTTCTCTCTTGGCTTTTTTCTGGGGATGAATCTTTTTGAGACAGGATCTCCCTATAGCCCCAGCTGGCTTGGAACTCACTATATAGACCAGGCTGGCCTAGATCTCACAGAGATCTGCCTGCCTCTGCCTTCTGAGTGCTGGTATCAAAGGTGTGCACCTCCACCTTCAGCCCTGGAATCTGTGATTTTGAAAGTAAACTAAAAGCAAAGGGGCACAGCTAGAGGGTCTTCTGGGGTTCCCCAGTGTCCCAGCCCCTGCCCGCTCCTCAGTTTCATTTATGGGCTCAGCATCACTTGCAGGATCTCGCTCTGTCTTCTCTTGCTTTACTGCACCTATTGTTGGGGGCCACGCCTGCCTGCACCCATGTAGCAGACCAACAGCAGAGGATCTCACAGAATTCTATGACCTCGAACCCCCAGTGAACCATTAGCATCTACCCCTCGAACCCCCAGTGAACCATTAACATCTACCCCTCGAACCCCCAGTGAACCATTAGCATCTTTCCCCATGCAGGTCACAAGGCTGTTTTCCTGGTCCATTCACACCCTCTTCTCCAAGACAATGATTCCCCTCCTCCCTAATCCCCATCATTTTCTGTTTCCTGAAGACATGCCTGAAGACATGAAAGAGCACCTCAGACGTCCACAGCCCTGGAGCACCCACCAGAGTGTGTGCAGTGTCCTCTGTTTCCCCTCATAGTGGAGATGGGCTGTCCAGATGCTGTGTGGGTGAACTCTGCCTGCGCTCCAAGCCACCAAATCAGCTGAGTCGTTGGGTGGGCCTCTCCTTTCTTTCTGATATTTTCATGTTGTTTCTTACCTTGTTCCCTACTCTGCTGCACACAAATATGCTTTTTGAGACAGGGTCTCCCTGTAGCCCAAGCTGACCTGGCACTCACTATGTAGACTAGGCTGGCCTCGATCTACAGAAATCCACCTGCCCTCTCCCAGTGCTGGGACTAAAGGTATGTACCCACCACATCTGGCTCACCAATATGCTATCTATCTCTCTGTCTGCCTGTCTCTATCTATCTATCTATCTATCTATCTATCTATCTATCTATCTATCTATCATCTATCTATTTGTCATCTATCTATCATCTATCTATCTATCTATCTATCTATCTATCATCATCATCTATCATCTATCATCTATTATCATCTCTCTATGTATATCTATCATATTTTGCCCCCACCTGCCCTCCACCCATCCATCCATCTATCCACCCATCCATCCATCCATCCATCCACCCACCCACCCATCCATCTACCCATCCATCTATCTCTCCATCCATCCATCCATCCATCCATCCATCCATCCACCCACCCACTCCTCCACCCATCCATCCATCCACCCACCCATCCATCCATCCCCCCCACCCATCCATCCATCCACCCCACCCATCCATCCATCCCCCCCACCCATCCATCCATCCACCCCACCCATCCATCCATCCACCCACCCATCCATTCATCTACCCACCCATCCATCCATCCACTCACCCATCCTGCCACCCACCCATCCACCCATCCATCTATCTGATGCTGCCTAGGGTCTGTTCTCTGGTCCTTTTCTTCACCATGTAAAGAATTACAAGAGAAGTTTCCAGTTACAGCACACAGTCAAGGTTTATTGAAGAAGAAGCAACACTCCACACACCAAAGAGACAGACTCCTCATGTGGGAGGAGGGGTGTAGAGCTGGAGCAGCGTCTACCCCTCTGGAGAGCCTGGTCTTTCATAATCTCTTGGGCCCAGCTCCTCCTTCTTAGTGGCTTCCCACCATCTGCCTCAGCCATTTTTGCTCTCTTCTGATCAGAGTCCAGAATGTTCCTTTAATGTCAACTAGAACACACCAATCTTTGTCTTATGTCTCCCATCTCCCTCAGGAAGAAGCCCCACTTTATCTTTTTTTTCCTTCTTTGTAAAGATTGATTTGTGTGTGTGTGTGTGTGTGTGTGTGTGTGTGTGTGTGTGTGTGTGTATGTGTGTGTATGCACTAGAGGCCAGAAGAGGGCATTTGATTCCCTAGAGCTGGAGTTACAGGTGGTTGTGAGCCATCTGACATGGGTGTTGGGAACTGAACTCAGATCCTCTGCAAGAGCAGTGTACTCTTAATTGTTGAGCCATCTCTCCAGTCCCTCTTTCCTTTCCTCCTCCTTCTTCTTCTTCTTCTTCATCTTCTTATTTTATTTTATTTTATTTATTTATTTATTTTTTTTGCTCTTTTTGAGACAGGGTCTCCCTGTAGCCCCAGCTGTCCTGGTACTCACTATGAGGACCAGGCTGGCCTTGAACTCACAGAGATCCAAGTGCCTCCCGATTAAAGGCGTGCGCCACCATGCCTGGCCCTTTCCTTTTCTTTAAAAAAAATATAGACTGCTTGGGGCTGGAGAGACAGCTCAGTGTTTAAAAGCATTTGCTGCTTTTGCAAAGGACCTGGGCTTGGTTCCCAGCACCCACATAATGGCTCACAACCACCTATAACTCTGGTTCTAGCATATCTAGCACCCTCTTCTGGCCTCTGTGGGCAGTAGACATACATGGTACACATATATACATTCAGGCAAAACACTCTGGGACTAGAGAGATGATTCAGCGGTTAAGAGCACTGGCTGCTTTTGCAGGAGACTGGGGTTTGATTCCCAGCACCCACATGGCAGCTAACAATCATCTATAACTCCAGTTCCAGGGAAATCCAATGTTCTCTTCTGACCTCTGTATGCATTGCATGACATGGAATACACATGCAGGGAGTACACTCATACACATAAAATAAAAAATAAAAATAATAAAAACCACTCATACACATAAAGTAAAAATGAATGCATCTTTAAAAACCATGGACCACTTCATGCATTTGCTTGTCATCCCTGGGCAGGGGCCATGATGTCTTCTGTGTGTCATTCCAATTTTAGTATGTGTGCTGCCAAAGATAGCATCTCTCTCCTCCTTGTGACACAGTCCTGCTGTGTAGCTCAGGCTAGCCCAGATGCAAAATCCTCTTGCCTTAGCTTCTAAATGCTGATGGGCACCATCGCACCTGGTTAAGAAGCCACACTCTGTGTACCAGGTTAACAAAGACCTTCGGTCCTCCCGTCACACACCACCTTTGCTTGATTTGTTTTGATTTTATAGACTAAGCAGTCTTCTTGTTGACCACCCATGTAAATTGCCTTTAGTTCTCTTTTATGGATCTTACTCTATAAAAGGCTTTATCTAAGAACTTTATTGATCTTACATCATGAAGATTTTCTTCTGTGTTTCATTTAAGAGCTTTATAATTTTTGGTTTTGCAGTAGATCTATAATCCAATTGGAATTGAATTGTGTGCACGTACGATGTTCAATATGTCAAAAATATGACAAGTACATGCTTACCTTAAGTTTTACGATGGCGTTCTTTGTAGCTGCTGCCTCTGCAGTCTCTGCCTTTACCACTGTCTTATAATACCAAGCCCGACTGCACAGAGGAGCACCACATAGTGATGGTTGAATTAGGAGTCCTTTATTAGCTAGCTAGCAAGCCGGTGGTCAGAGACGGGGCTCGTGCCCAAGAGTGCTCTCAGCCCCGAGGAGGAGAATCGGGGCAGGGTTTATAAAGCTTAAAACCACAATTCGGGGTAAAGGCAATAACCAGTTACATCACATCGCCATAGTTATACCAGACCAGGGGCAGATCAGTTAACAAAGAGGTTTTCAAATAACAAAACGTTATGGTTAGGACAAAACAAGTTTCTCAGAGTTGCAGAAACAATGTGCTCCACAGAGATGCAGGTATAGCTGGGGGTGGGGTGGGGGGTGGGGCGTGCTGTCTGGATGTGCTACCTGGTTACTTGTAAGTTTCCCAGTATTGTAGAAACAATGCACTCCCTGACACTGCCTGCATGAGACGTTCTGCCTGACTGGCTGCAGTGGGAAAGGCTGGGCAAACACACAGGGCAGAGCAACAGTCAGCTCCAGCCAAATGGAAGTAGCTGTGTCATTTCAATGTAGCGTCTCTTTGCCTAATTAATACTTTTGGTTCCGATTCATGTATGGTATGAATTGTCTCCCTTCAGCTTCTGTCTGCCTTTTCTGAAGTAGCATCATTCACATTATTTCTGCTTCTGCGCGCGCGTGTGTGTGTGTGTGTGTGTGTGTGTGTGTGTGCGTGTGGTGTACGTATGTACACGTGCATACACCGTAGGTGCCTTTCTTTATTTCTCTTCGCCTTAATTTTTGAGACAAGGCCCGGAATGTGCCAATTTGGCTACCCTGGCTGGCCAGAAAATCCCAGGGAGTCTCCTGTCTCCACCTCCCAAGTGCTGAGGTTACTCTTTCTGGCCTCTAGTGCATAGTTGCAATGGCTGCCTGCTCATGATGACCGATGGTCCTTGTTAGGAGGGAAATGCTTCCCTGTATGCTGTCTCCTCACACAAAGAACTTGAAGTGACAGGGAAAAACCACAGAGACTTACTGTGTCTGCAGAAGATGCGCTTTCTGTCCAGTAGGGCCTCAGCTTCACAGCCTGGAGTGTGGGCATGGGAAGATCAGGTTGCCCAGGCAGATCACTGACTGCTGTTAGTAGGCTGCCCATGGGTGTCACCTTTCTCCTTGTGAGTGTTTGCTGGAGATAAAGCACTGTATGATAGTCCTTGGTAAAGGATGGGTCCCAGCCTAGAGCTTGTAATCATCCCTAAGCTGGTACCTCAGCTGCATCTTTAAAAGCAGCATCTAATGCACTCTTAGGTTAGCAACTTTGGAGTATCGTATCATATAATAGGACAGGGGGATCACGTGGTTGGGTATCATTTAAGGGTGAAATGAGTCTCTAGGCTTAATGTGGTATCATGTAGGCTGCCTAGTGGGTGAGTGAAAGGTTTTACATCCCTTCAGATTAGTGGTGTTAGCTGATCCTTCTAGGTAAAAGACAAAACCATACTCAGAATATTTGTTCATTCTAGTTAAGATGAATCGCTGCTGAAACTCACAGCTGGTCAAAGTGCAGAGTGAGTGATCTGGAGTGCTCAGTCACAAATGGGACATCTGTTTCATTCCCCATCCCCCCATGGCTCAGGGACCATTGTAGAACAGAAAACAGAAGGGGTGTGAGAGCCATAGGGAAGACTGGGGCAAACAGTGTCTTCTGGACATGACGGGACCACAGCACTCATGAGCTCACAGCAGATGTGGCTGCCTGTGCAAGACCAGCCAGTCACCATCCCAGCATGGAGGGGGAGAGGTGTTCATGAACTCCCGCCCCTAAATAAGGATTTCTTGTCAGTTGTTGGTTTATGGGGGAAGGAGAGCCAGGTGTTTTAAGATTGTGGCCCGTGGTAGGTCAAACATGCTCCTGTGGCTGGCCCCATACCCATGAGTGGACTTGGTGGGGAAAAAAAAGAAGGCCTAAAGTGGGAGGGGTGGGAAGTGGAGGGTGGATCTGGAGGGGTAGGAAGACTGAGGACTGGGGGTGAATAGGATCAAAATGCATTGTATGCATGTAAGAAATTCTCAAAGAGGCAATAAAAAAATATATATTTAAGGGCTGGAGAGATGGCTCAGAGGTTATGAACACTGGTTGTTCTTACAGAAGACCCCGGTTCAAATCCCAGCACCCACATGGCAGCTAACAACTGTCTGTAACTCCAGTTCCAGGGGATCCGACAGCCTCTTCTGTCCTCTGCGGGCACTGCACGACATGGTGCACTTGCTTATATACGGGCATAACACTCAGACACATTAAAAAATATAAATATATGTTAAAAATTTAAAAAATGTTATGTGTTATGGATGTGTTGTTTGCATGTATTTAAATGTACCTGTGTTGTGCAATGCCTTCAGAAGTCGAAGACGGCATTGATTTCCCTGGAACTGGGGAATATATATATTTAATATTTTATCTCAAAAAAAAAAAATTTATTTTTTATTTTTATGTGTATGTGTATATTGCCCTGCATGTAGTAAGTGCACCTGTGTCATGAAATGCCCTTGGAGGACAGAAGAGGCCATCAGATCCCCTGGAACTGGAGTTTTGGACAGTTGTGAGCTGCCCAGTATGGGTACTGAGAACTGAACTCTGATCCTCTGCCAGAGCATCCAGTGGTCTTAACTGCTGAATTGTCTCTCCAGTCTCATTAAAATACAACTCTTAAATTTTGTTCTTTTCCCTTGCAGAGGACCTGAGTTCAATTCCCAGCACCCACATGGTGGCTAACAACTGTCTTTAACTCCATTTCCAGGGGATCTGACACCTTCTTCTGACCTCTGAAGGCACTGCACGACACGGGTGCACTTACACACATACAGGCAAAACACTCATACACATAAAATAAAAATAAATTTTTTTTTTTAAAAAGATGAATTGCTGCTTCTTCTAGGGAGAAAGGAGTCTGACGACATAGTCAGTTTGTAGCCAAGTGACTGGCCAGTCTTCCCAAGGGATGATGGTCAACTGAGGGCTCAGAGTTAGTCTCTGATAGGACAAATTGGGTGCTGAGTGGTGTCAGAAGTTAGAACAGGTTCCCAGGCAGTCATCTGGGCATAATTTCCATCCCTTCTGGTCCAGCTTCTTTGTCCGCTGTGTGGCTGGTAATCAGGGTGGTGGACACTGGGCGGCTTGCTCATTCTGCTTTCTTGGTGGCTTTCAATGCTCTCTTGGGCCATGAACATGTGATTTAAAGACCACCATCCTCAGTGAGGTTAAGAAGAGTTGCTGTTTGCTTGCCTTTCCTTGATGTCCTGCTCCATGAGGCTAGGTCACAGAGAGCTGTCCTGCTCCGTGAGGCTAGGTCATGGACAGCTGTCCTGTGGGATGGGTCTAGTGTGGTCTCTGCCTGGATTGAGAGTATGTCTGTTTCAATGATATACTTGAGGCAGGTTGATCAGACTCCAGTGGATGAGCCCACACCAAAGAGTAGACACAAACTTGACTATTTAGGCATATGTGTGTGTGTGCGCGCGCATGTGTGCGCACGCCCGTGTGTTTGTATGTGTGTGTGTATGTGTGTTTGTGAATTACAAATAATATCACATTCCAAGCAAATTGGTAATGAATGACCCCAAATAGCTCTGTATGCAAACTTAATGCAGAATAGCCCAGCCAGTTGATGAGAGGCCTGGAGAGATACTGGAAGATTTGGGATAAGGGAGTTGGAGGAAGACCCATGTAAATTGACTTAAAGCCATGGGCCTTTATGTGAGGATGATGCAAGGTCTTCCTGTGCCTGCTTGAAGATGTGAGCACACTGTGTTACTGACTATATGGTTTTCAGACTGAAGAAGGATACTCAGGTTCATGTACAAAAACAGACTTACTAGGCTTGGTGATGTAACTCAGTACTAGAACATTTGCCTATCATATACAAACCCTCGGGTTTGGTCCTTGACTAAATACACACAATCACACCCTCACAAGCCTAATTTGGTTATTGCTGTCATTTTTCTTTTTTTAAAAATGTGTGAGTGCATTGCCTGCATGTGTGTAAGTTCACCCATATTGTGCAATGCCCACAGAGGTCAGAAGAGGATGTTGGATTCCCTTGTAACTGGAGTTACAGATGGTTGTTATCTACCATGTGGGTGCTGGGAATTGAACATGGCAGGGCAGCAGGAGAGATGGCTCAGTGGTTAAAAGCACTGGCTTCTCTTGCAGAGGACACGTATTCAATTCCCTTTTCTGTTGTTGTGATTAAACACCATGACCAAGGCAACCTAGAGAAAGAAGAGTTTATTGGACTTATGGTTCCAGAGGGATTGGAGTCCATCATGGCAGGGAGACATGGCAGGAGGCAGCTGGAACAGAAGGCTGAGTGCTCAGACTTCAAGCAGGCACAGGAGGCAGAGACAGCAAGCTGGATGTGGGATGAGGCTATGACCTCTCAAAGCACATCCTCAGTGATGTGCTTCCTCCAGTACGGTCACACCCACTAAAGGTTCCATGACCCTCCCCAAACAGCACCACC